GGGAGCACTGGGTGAGGGTGGGGAGCCCCGGGGTGGGCAGCATTTGGCTGTGTTGCTGCAGTGGGGGCCCAGCCCAGGCGGAGGCTAAGCTGAGGAGATGGTAACCACGTCTTCCCTCCCCGCAGGCAGTTCAGGCTGTGAACATGACGCATGATGCTGCACATGCACAGATGGATGTGAAGCTTCGTTCCCTCATCTGTGTTGGACTCAAGTGAGTCATCTGGCCCTGATACCCTCGGCACTGTGGGTGCGAGGAGCTTGGGAGGGGGCAGAGCGGGCTCAAGGGCAGCAGTAGTTCCAATCTACCTTAGGCCACAGGGGTTTTTTAACCCCTCTCACTGCAGCCACTGAGTGGGACCTGGTCCTTCCTTGTTCATCGTGCTGGCCTGGCTCCTGGCTGGAAGAAGTAGCTCTTGTTGCATGGAGCGGCTCACACAAGTTTCCTGGGTTATCCTGTTCCCACTGGGGACAGGGCTGTGGGTTGGGGTCAAGGCTTGGGCTGAAAATAGACTATCCCAAAGGGATGAGTCTTCTTTCCGTGGCTTCAGCCAAGTAACATGCCTCCACCCCATCGCTGCAGCGAGCAGGTGCTGCATTTGTGGCTGGAGGTGCTGTGCTCAAGCCTGCAGACCGTGGAGAAGTGGTTCCATCCCTGGTCATTCCTGCGAAGTCCCGGCTGGGTGCAGATCAAATGTGAGCTGAGGTGAGTCTCTCCCCACGGGCCTCGCCAAGGTCTGGAATGGATTCCCACCTCCTCTGCAGGAGGTGGCCCTCACAGTGGCTGGCTTTGGGCCCTCTCCAGTGGGTAGCAGCGTGGGCTGCCCCCCAATCCCCACTGCAGAGATTTCCTCCTGTGTGCTGAGGCAGCAGCGACTGTCTGGACAGTTTAACGCGGTGCACTGTGCCTGCTTGGCTCCTGGGGAGCTGTCGTGACAAGCAGGCAGCCTCTGCCTGCCAGCAACCTCCTGCTGTGCCCTGCACCTACTCTGACGGAGAATCTGCCTTTTCCATCCCCCTGCTCTCCAAGTCCTCGGCCAGTCACCACGAGTCCAGGCAGGGAATGTGCTAGGGAGACACTCTGACTGTCACGGGCCGGGAAGGAGTCCGTCACTGTCTGCCCTCCTGGTTAAGTGAGGGAGCGATGTCAGGGGCTGAAGGCGGCTTTAGTGCCCGAGCTCACACGAAGCACACCGCTGGGAGCCCAGGGCACACCCCCACGCTGCGTGCCCCCGGCCCTCCCGCGCTCTGCCGAGCCCACACCCACTCCCAGGGAGCCGCAGAGCGGACTCCCCGCCCGCACCGCCGCTCCAGCCCCGTTGCCGCCGCGCTCCTGCGGGGAACCGGCTTCTGTCCGCGCCGCCCGGTTGCCTCTGGCCCCTGTGGGAGCACCCGTAGCCAGGCGCGGGCCTGCGTGCGCGCACCTCGGGGTGCCCTGTTCTCCTTGTGCTCTGCTGAATGGGGGGAAGGGACTCCCCTCCGCCCCTGCGCTGCCGTGTCCTGTGGCTGCTTTCTCGCAGCGTGGGGGCAGTGCTGGTTCAGCACAGCCAAAGGCCCAAGTGGGACTGGTTCAGAGCTGGGCCCAGGCTGGTTTGGAGCAGGAGCAGAGGCTTATGCCGTGTCTCTCCCAGCCAGCTTCCTGCGGAGGGCCCCAGCTCCCTCACTGCTGCAGGAGCAAGAGGAGACCCCCCCCCCCCAGGAGTTTCCCCTGAGCCTTGAAGGGCTGACGAGCTCGCTGCCAGGAGGCCCGAGCTGTGCATCCCTGTGCCCGCAGCCCCTGCTTAGACCCGGGTCCAGCGAGGTGACTCAACCTGCCGTTCCCCTGCAGCACTTGTGTGCAGGGGTCAGGATGCTCCTCTTACTCCAGGGAGAGAGAAGGGGGTGCAGAAACTCTGAGGGGCTACTGGCAGGGGTCTGCTTTCTGGAGAGGAACCTGCAGCCCGCCGCCTCCAGCTGCGCGCAGTCCCGGGCCCCGTGTGCCCGTGGTCCAGCAGAGCCCGGGGCTGCCCCCGCCTCCCTGCGCTGCTGTGCCAGGCTCTGGAGGGGTTGTACTAGAGTCCTGTCTTTGAGCTTCTCTTTCCAGCCTGGGCCTGGCAGGATATGAAGCCCAAAGAGGAGAGGGGGAAACAGGGGATGGAGGGATGGATGGGTGGATGGATGGATGGGTGGGTGGATGGATGGATGGGTGGGTGGATGGATGGATGGGTGGATGGATGGATGGGTGGATGGATGGATGGGTGGATGGATGGATGGATGGATGGATGGTGCTGCCCTTTCAACAGCAACAAGCAAGGAATTTCATCCTCATAAGCTTAGTGGCAAACCAGGACAAGCTGAGGAGTGGGTGGAATTGTGTGCCTTGGGGTAGCAGTTGTGGGTGGGCACAGGCTGGGTGTATGACCTGGGGGTGTGTGTTACATCGCTCTCTTCCATCACAGAGTCCTCTGCAAATTTGCCTTCAGCCTCTCTCAGGACTGGGAGCTGCCAATAAAGAGGGAGGTGAGTAGGTGTCATCTCTCATTCTCTCCCTCAGCCAGCTGCTTTTCCTTACCTCCTCCCTCTCCCAGCTTTGTGTTCCAGCCCATCCTCTTCCTCCTCCTGAGCCGGTGCCGGAGGCTGTGGCTGGGGCAGCTTCCCCTGCCAGGGCAAGCTGGGCGCGGAGCTGCGGCAGCGCTGGCAGAGGGGGCTGCCTGCCCGGGGCAGAGGGGAAGGGCGGGCCCCTCCCTTCCCTCCCTTCCCTCCCCCCACCCCCCCCACCCCCCCCCCCGTGCTTTCCAAACCGCAGGGCCTCTCCCTGTTTCAGCTGCTCAGAGGTGGGAAGTGCAGAAGGCCACTCTGCCTGCGAGCCGGAGAGCTCGGCGTGCTCGGGCTCTGTCCGCAGACACAGCCCCCCCTTTTCTGGGGGCCGTGCACTGACCCGGCTCTCTGTGTCATCACCCTGCAGGAGAAGGAGAAGAAGCCGCTGAAGGAAGGGGTGCAGGACATGCTGGTGAAGCACCATCTCTTCAGCTGGGACATAGATGGGTGACCCCCATCCCACCCCATCCTGGGGGACCTTCTCAGTGGCGCACACTCCTCTCCCCCCGCCCCCATCGTGTCTCACCTTCTGCCCTCCCCCACCCCACCCACTTGTATCTGTGACAAAATCCCCCTGGGGGGGGGGGGGGGCTGCCAGGCCACCCGGGACAGACGGCAGCAGCACCGAGAGGCCGAGCTGCATCCTCGAGGGAGGCGATGGTCGAGGGTGATGCTGCAAAGGGACAAGTGTGTCGTGGCCACAAAAACAAGCGCCCCTTCCCACCTTCCCCCCATCTCTGCCGCCCCCATCTTCTGCTCGCCCCAGCCCTGCCTCCCCGCCGGTGCCTGGGGGAGCAGCCTGGCCCGCAGCCCCCCGCGCTGCCCCACAGCCCGGCCGCTGCGTGGGGGCGCGAGCGGGTCTGCCGCCGTTGCTCTGGGGCCGAGGCAGCCCCTGGGGTGGCTTTGATCCGTGAGAGCCGGCGGCACTGCGGGCGCGCGCGGAATCGGGCTGGTGAGAGATGCGCTGCTGTACGGGAGCAAGGACGGCACGTCCCCGTCCCCCCCACCCCGTGCCAGCCGAGGGCTCGCCTCTGCCGGGGAGGGGAATGGCAAAAACTGAAGCACTTGGAAAAGTTCCTCTGACCTGGAGCCAGGCCTGGGAAGGGGGAAACAGCATCGGCCTCATCCTCCCTCCCTGGCACTGGTGCGTGGGGTGTTGACAAGAGGTGCTCAACGGGCACCAGCCTATTACCGCTGTAACGGCCTTAGGGGATGGGCCTTGTCTCCTCTGGGAGCAGACAAAAGCCGCCTCTCCCCTAAGCAAGAGTGTTTCATGCTGTCATTTTAGTCTCTAGATGATTTTTACTGTTAACCAAAAAGCTGTAAATTAACTCCAGGACCGTGTATATTTTGGCACCGTTGTAGCTCAGGATGGGGTTCAGGTTGGAGCTGGCTCAGGGACACTAACTCGTCCTCCTCGCCCTGCGGTGGCAGCAGGGACGCAGGTCAGGAGTGGAGAATTGCTGCTTTGTGGTGGTGGCTCTGGATATGGAGTCTGTGACTTTCTACTGAAAGCGCTTGTCTGTGAGCACAAACTACTCATAAAATGACACTAGATTCTTACTTTCCTTTATTCGGTGGGTTTGTAAATAAACTGCATCTTGGGAGAGTGCTGGGCTTTGGCTTTGGTTTTTTGACGGGGCCAGGACTAGGTTTTCCTCTTAATTTCTGCCATTTGGTAACTCTGACCCCGTTTCTGCGCTGGCAGCGGGGGGGGGGTCCCCGCTGGCCCTGCGTCCCACCAGGCCCCAAGGCCCAAGGCCGGAGTGCAGCCCCACGGCAGAGCCCCAGAAAAGCAAGAAATGCTCAAAACTGGGGGGTGTAGGGACACTGCAGGAGGAGGGCCCTGAGCAAAGGGTGGGGGGCGGGTAGCAGTGGTGTCTGTGCACCAAGAAGCTGCTCCAGAAAAAGCAGGTGGAGTCTCGTCTGCAAAGCAGGGCAGGAACAGGGCCCGGGCCCAGGGAGGACGGCGGTCAGAAGCCCAAGCTCACGGGAAGGTGGCCGTTGCAGCGTATTTACTGAGGTGAAAATCAGTGGTTTCGGTCAAAGTGATGCCAGTTTGGCGTCTGGCTGAGGAAGGCTGCAGTGTCACCTCACCCCCGGAACAGCTGGGGGCCAGCGCAGCCCAGCGGGCTGGGGGAGGCTGTAAAAGCTGCCCGTGCTTCTTTCTCCTGCCATAAGCTCTACTTCTGGCTGCAGGGTAGGTAATTTCCGTATGCAGAGGGAATCTCCCTGCAGCTGAGAAAGGATGAGGCACCGCCACTCAAGCTGCTTTTTTTGCAGGCTGGAGAAAGACCCAGAGGGTTCACCCACCCTTAGCTGGAAAAGGCAGAGTGGCCCCAAGCCCTCCCACCAGCATAGCAGAGAAGTTTCTGAGCACGTGGCTGTTTGGAATTTTTTTAATAAAATGGATTTTTTTTTTTTTCCCAAATATTTGTAACTGAAAAAATAATTCAATTTAAAGATCCCTTCTCTCCCCCATTAACTTGTCACTTTTATCCTTTTCCAGTTGAATACTTGCTCTGGATCCGATGCCCCAACACCATCCGTCTCTGATGGTGCTGATCACCCCTCGCCGTTTGCTGCATAGTGGAAGGGAGAGTGCGTGCTAGTCAAATACACATTACAAACAAGTAGTGGTTACAGCAGAAAGATTCAGGATTACATTCAAGGTAGAGGCAGAACATCAGACTTTGTTTTTCCCAATGGGTGCAAAAATGCATGTCCAGGGAAATACCTCCTCCGACAAAGAACTATTGAACTATTATTCAAACAAATAATAGTAAAGAAAGCAGAGAACCGGGCTCGCCTGCTCTGGACACTGCTTGGGGAAAAGACTTTCTACTGTTTCCTGGGATGAGGCACCATCTTCCCCTCCGCCCCCGGGCACAGGGTTACCCCCCTCTCTCCTGGCAGAAGCCCCTTGTGCCGCAGGGCTGGGGCAGGTTAGCTGGGTTCCTCAGGTGAGGCTCATGATTCTGTATCATCTGGGCTCCTTGAGAGCTCTCAAGCCCATCAGCCAATTTCAAGTACCTTGAGCAAATTTAATGTAATTAAACACCTACAACGTTTCACAAATGAAGGTGGGTGGGTAAAGGTGAAAGGGAGCAGCTGGGAGCTCGGCCTTTCACCATCAACCCCAGGGAAGGGCTGGATCAGTAACAGGCACTGGGGTCTCTGCCAACGACGACTGGGGGGGCCTGGCCCAGCGTGAGGAACCACGACTGGGTCAGGCCAGGACTGCAGGGAGAGTGCTCCCACCTTCTAGGAGCTCATTGCACTTTGATAATTTCTTTATTTACTGGTTGCAGCTTTGTAATTATTGGTACAAAAGAAATCACACAGCTCGTTTTTGTGGAGACTGCTGCTCACTGTGGGCTAAAAAAAAGCTGAGATTTTGCTTGAGTTTGACCAATAGGCAGCCTCACTTTTTCCCCTTAGCATTTGAAAGATCCTCCCACACACCCCCCCAAACTTTTCCCCTAAGAAACCCCTCGCCTCCTGTGCCCACCTGGTCCCACGGCTGGGCAGCTGCCCTGGGGGGGAGCTCTGTGAGGCAATTGCTAATGCACTCGCTGCTCCCCGTGAGCACCGGGGCTGCACCAGGAGAGACTTGAGGGCGGGCTCGGGGGGGGCATGAAAGGGGTGTCCACCGGGCCCAGTTACTCTGATTTTTAGGACATGACAGTGTAGCTTGGGCAACAGAAAGCAGGGCGGGGTGGGGGGGGAAGGTGTCCTCTCCAACCCGGACACTGAGGGAGGCAGATAAGCGGCTCTGACTTGCTTACAACTGAGAGGGGAGAGATGGGGGCAGAAAGGAAGGAAGCTGCCAGCAGGCTCCCCCTGCAAACGATTAAGAAAGTGGCTCCCCATACAGTTAAGAAGCAAATAGGGCTCAGGAAAGCAGGAGTCTCTCCCAGCTGCAAAACAGGCGTGACCCCCCCCCCTCCCCACCCCCTCAAGGCTGCCAGTTTGGTGGCTGCCAGAGAGCACGTTGTGTGTTACCCGCACCCCTGCGGCAAGGCCTCCCCCTGAGACCAGCACCAGGTACCAAAGGGGCAGGGGAGCAGCATGTGCCCCCCCCTCCCCGACAGGCAGCACTGCAGCCCGGCACGGGGAGGGGGGGCAAGGTGGGGACAGCCTCCACGAGGAGCTACTAAAAAGGCTGGCAGTTTGTCCTTCCGCTGCCCGAGCGGGGTCAGCGCCCTCGGCCGTATGGAGCCGCTGCCTCCAGCCCTGCCCGGCCCCACCGCCCTCAGCCCGACCCCAAAGCCCAGCTCAGCTCCGGAGCAGGGGGAGCTGGGCAGCCAGGCAGCCGCCTGGGGCTGGGCTGTGGCTCACCTGGTCAATCAGGCAGGGAGCTCACAGCCGACAAATGCGGGGATTTAAAAGCGACAGGCCTAACGGCGCGAGGGCGAGCCCCGGGTCTGGGTTTCCACTGCAAAAACCCCCGCACAAGGAGGAGCACGGCCATGGCTCTGGGGGGTGGGCCGCAGGACGCAGCCGTCAGCTTTCGCCTTTTGCCCCGTGGGCCGGGAGGGAAGAGCAGAGCTCAGCTGCCCATTACTTGCTTTCAGGCTCCCGCTTCTCCCCAGAAAGGGGCCCTCAGAGAAAGGGTCGCATAGGAGCCGTGCTGTGCGGCTGAAGGCAGGACACAGATTGCACATGGCCCCTAATGATATGTTGCCCCTTGCTAGCCGTGCCCCTCGCACGCGCCCCTGGACACCCAGAGGCTTTCTTGGCCCAAACCCCCACCCCAGGCTGACCGCCCTGCTCGCCTGGGGGTGTCGCAAGCGCTGGGGGGAGCAGGGGCTGTGCCTGAAGGCTAACAGCCAGGCACAGCCCCGGGTCTGGGGCAGCGAAGGACAGGTATAACAAGACCTGGATTTTAGCACCTTAAAAAAGTCTGTTTTGCAGCCCAAAGCGAGTGAAGCAAGCAGGCAGCCCTCGGCCGAGCTCAGCAATATTTGGGAAACCAGCTTAGACATTACCAGGTTGGTGAGGAACCCTGATTCCCTTTGGCTACATTTGGAAAAGGTGCCCGTTCTGCCCCGCTCCTCGCAGCCCCGCGGCAGATCAGGCCCTCCCCTGACAGAGGGCAGGTGGCGCGGGGGGGGGGCAGCAGGTCCGGGCGCCCAGCCAGCGCTCCCGCCTCGTGTGTCCCGCTCAGGAGGTAGAATCCCCTTCTGCAACCGTTAAACCGACACAGCCCCTTTTTATTCACCGATCCCAGCAAGGCACAGGGGTGCCGCTTCTGGAATCGCCTCGGGCCCACTCGCGCTCTGTCCTGCCGCGAGGCGTGGGGGAGGGAACGCGTGCCCCTCGCCGCTCCTGCCTGGAGGGAGAGGGGCTGCCGGCTCCGTCCTCGCCCAGGCTGGGTCAGGCTGCACGGAGGGGGCAGGAGGCCACCAGCCCCCCCGAGCTCCTGCGGCCTCTTCTCCTCTTCATCCCCCCCCCCCCCAGCTGTTCTCCCTGCCCCGGCCCGGCCCCGCTGCCCAGGCAGCCGTGACTCGCTGCCGGCTTTGTGCAGGAAGGACACTGGTGGGGGAGGAGCACAAATACCAGGAGCATGTTTCTTTCTTTCCTATTTTTTTTTTGGGGGGGGGGTGGGGGGGAAGCGGGATGTTTCTGGTTTGTTTTTTTTTGTTTGTTTGTTTGTTTTTCAGTTGACTGGCCTCCTCCCCCTGCATGCCCGTGCCCTCCTGCTCCCATTCCCTTCAGTCTCTGCTCACAGAGTTACAAGCAAGAATCCCAGTGCAGCTGCAGATCGTGTCCATCAAGGAAGTCTGTGGAAAAGAGGCTGGGAGCCGCAGTGCTGAGGGGAGCCAGGCTCATGACGGGCCCCCCCGGCAGCTCCAGCCAGTCCATGCTGTCCAAGTTAGCCTCAGCCAGATCCAGGGCGATGCCCCCGGACGGCTCGTGAGCAAAGTGCAATTCCGAGGTGTCCATAGGTGAAGGCGGGTGGTCCAGGATGGCCGAGCTGCTCAGCATCTCACTGTGGAGGTCGTCGATCAGGGACAGGGGCTCCGGCCCATCGTGGCCTGCCGTCAGCAGCGGGAGGCCGGTGCTGCTCTCCAGGAAGTCCTCCAGCCGGCCCACGGGCACCGGCTGCCCCAAGGACACCGGCACCCCCAGCTCTGAGGAATGGTGGCTGCTGGGCGGCGGGGAGCAGGCCGGGGCCGCCGGTGGTTCTTTCCCAGCTGGGGACGACTGATCCTTGAAGTCAGCAGAAATCTCTGTGCAGGGAACAAAGAGGCAGGCCAGGGTGAGGGGAAAGCTCGGCCCCACACCAGAAGGGTCCCTCCCACCCAGCAGGGCAACAGGGATCCCCCCCCCAGCCGGAGCCATCACTGACCACCAACCGGGACACGAAACTCAGCCTGTGCCTGCGCGTGGTTTGCTGCGAGGGGTTTTCAGCTCACCCCTGGGGAATTCAGGCTCTGTCCAGAACCGCAGAAGAGCTGTGCCCAGAGCCGAGGCAGCAGAGCCACTCAGCAGCTTTGCGTCGTACTAATGCCTGACTGACATCTCCCTCGGTGCCCTAATGACCACTGCCAATGGTAAAGCCACTGGCAGGGGCGCAGGAGCGGAGCCCTGGGCCGTAACAGCCTCTCCCCTCAGTGCTCTATAACCCCCAGGCTCAAACCCAAAGACGAGGGGAACTGCTGGCTTTGTCTCCTTACCTCCACTTTCGATGAGAATGTCAAACAGGTCGTCCATCTGCTGGCTGGAACAGCCGTTCTCCTGGGGAGAGCGAGCGCAGGATTAGCTTCCTGTTTGCCAGGGGAGCTCCCACCTCCAGCAACACCCCTGGCTGCTGGCTCTCCTCCCTCGCCCCAGGGACGGGGCTGTTATTCAGCAGGAGTGAGCACAGGGGGGTCGTGGCACTGGAACCCCCTGTAGCCCCAGGCTGTTACTGGAAGGGAAGGCACACTCAGCAACTGCTGTACTAACACTCAGTGCGCAGCCAGCGAGTGGTTTGGGATCTCTACCTGCGGCTCAGGGTCTGCCCCAAACCCTTCAGAAGGAATGTGGTGAGGACGGTGCAGTTGTGTCTCCATTCTCTATTACTGGCCCAGATCAAGGATCTAAGCAGGTTTACAGTGGCAACTTTTCACCTGCTCTCCAAGGAAACCAGGGAGAAGAAGAACTGCTCTCACCTGGGCCTTTGGCTGTTGCTTCATGGCCTCTTCGTAGCCTGGTGGCTCTTTCACTGGGGCCGAGGGAACAGGGAGAGGAGGTGGAGGAGTTCCAAAAAGCGACGCGTGCTGTTGCTGCTCCAGGTCCATCTGGGATGGGGAAGGGGCAGCAGGAGAGCTGGGCTGCGATGAGGGCTGTTTAGAACGAAGGCAGAAGGGGTGATCAGGGGCAAGTCCACATCAACTCCTTTCTCACAGCTGCTTTGAGAGACCATCACCCCCTCTCTCGGTGAGCGCTGCACAGAGGTCTGCACTGCTCTGCTCCCAGCAGCCCCGCTACCCTGTGCACTGTGCCCTGGCTGCAGGGGACGAAGACAGATTTCCCAGATTTCCCTTCCACCTCACAGCTGGAAATCTTTTGCTGATTTTTCTAATGCTAATGCAACCACGCCACAAACCACCACCAGGCTGCTCCTGGACGGGGAGAGCCGCATCTGCCCAAGTGGGGGATTCCTCTGGCACTTTGGAGAGAGCAGGCACTTCCCTTGTTGTGTGCAGCCTACTCTGCGCAATATATCCAGCACCTCCGTGGGCAGTGCCTGCTTTGGGGACCCAGTCAAGCCTCACTAGCAGCAAGTTTCACAGCCCGACGGTGGGCGGAGAGCACCGGCGCGCTCAGCAGCACCAGGCACCTCCAAAGGAAACCCCCAGTGCTGCAGGAAGTGGTGCTCCTGACTCAGCTTTACCAGATGAATCAGCACACGACTGCCCATAAGAAAAGTTAAACCACGGATCGGGTCTTTGCCCCTGCAGCAGTTATGCCTGATCCGCACTGGAGCTCGCTCCCCCGGAGCAGCGATCCCCAGGCAGCAGCTGATTGCCAGTTCCAACAACATGTACCTGTTGATGCTCTCCCCCATCCTGTTTTCCCCCCCGAGAGCTTTTTGTCTGTTCTGTGACCTGCAGGTAGAGGAATGACCCCGGGCCCCGGTCAGCTGCTCTGGGGTCCACTCTCTTCCCGAGAGGGGCTGGGACCTGGTGGTGTGGCACAGGCCACTGGGATGTGCTGCGAGGGTAACTTTTTTGACACACTGGGTGGGCCAGCTTCGCCAGCAGCACCGATTTTCAGGGACTGTTTGTGGAACTCATTGAGGAAGAAGGGCTGCAGGTTTGGAGGTGCTGAGAACGATAGTATGGTGTGGGGCAGCTGCCCCGTGACCACCTGCAGGCCTGGTTTCTGACCCTACAGGGAGGCAAAAGGATTAGGAGTCACTACAGATGCCTCCACAGCACACGAGCTAAGGGAGCCTGAGGGAAAAGGTGCCTTCATTTACCTTCTGTATTTCCTCAAAGGTCTCAAAGCAAACCAAAGCCCCAACCCTCTACAAAGTGAATACCTCACTCCGACTACACTAGAAATAACTCCTGTCTTCATATCCTTTCCAGGATCTGACTCAGAAGTGATCCTCCAAGCTCTAAGAACTCTTCATAATCTTTCTGTATCTTATCTTAATTACACGTTAGAGAGAGAGCCAAGTAGGCTAGAAAGGGAGGAGAGGCACAGCAGAGCCTCTTTAGAGCCATCACCTGGAGAAGGGGTAGTCGGAGGTGCTCTTTCCTGAGCCAGCATGGCACTTCAAAAAAGAGATAATTAACAGGCACGCTCAAGGCACGGGAATGGAAATCCCAGCATGTTCATCAGCATCAGAGATTAAAAGGTCACATCCTTTCGCCCCTCTCAGAATTCATACGCCGCCTTCAGCAGGAGGCCTACTGACCACACCCCCACCCGCTTCCATGCTGCAGCCACCTTTCCAGTTCAGCAGCACTCCTTCAAGAATCAGGGACACCACCGTGAACGGAAGCTGCCCACTCTGGCCTCTCATCATTTTTAACGGCTAGGCAATGCTTGTTTAAAACACCGGTGGGTATTCTGCCCAGATGTGGGACCAAAGGGCAGAAGCTAGTAAATTGTCAGGGTTTAGCCCAGAGCTCTTTGCTGTAAAGCCTCCTCATCACTTCCAAGCGTGCCCAGAGGGGAAGACCTCATGGGCACTTAGTGCTCCTGAAACCTCGTGCCTGACGGGCTCTCCACCGCAGCCGGTGCGGCAGGAGGCAGGGGAAGGGAGAGGCCATGCCAGGCACCTCTTCTGCCACATTCAAGCTGAAACCCAAACACTCCACGCAGCTGCAAGCTGTGGCAGAAGCTACTGTGAGATCTCACTTGCTGTGGTGATGGTCTCTGACCAGGATTGTGCACGCGTGTCTCCTTCCCGCTGCCGCTACACACCCCGGCAGCAGACAAAGAAAAACAAGGAAGAAAAGTGAGCAGGCAGCGAGCTACCTTTCTGACAGATTGGTTTCGTCCTCTGGGCTGCTGCTGCTGCTGCTGCAGGGGCTGCTGCTGCTGCTTCTGCTGCTGCTGCACGGGCTGCTGCTTCTGCTGCTGTGTGGGCTGCTGAGGGGTGCTTGCAGGTAGCTGACACGGCGGTTGGCTGGAAGTTTTAGCAGGCGATGATTGTACTCTCTGGAAAGAAAAGGGTATCCGTGAGAAGTTATTCCCCAGACACAACATGGAGCAAGGCCTGTCCTTCTTAAAGGATTTATGAAGTTTGGTTTCCCCCACTCTATATTCTTTGGGAAATTCAGTCAATCGTTCTGTTTCACCAAGCAGAGAAATCAGATTGGGGCGGGATTGAGAGTCCTAAAAGAGGAGGTAGTACCAGTCTAAATCCCTGGGCTATCCATGACATCCCTCGAGGGCTGGCAGACCTGACACAGGACCTGTGCCCTTCCAGAGCAGAGGCTGGAGTTCAGGTGAGATACCCTGGGCTCTCCAGGGTGACACTGGATGCTGGTATTTAGACAGCTGCCTGTCATCTCATCTGCTACACAGCAAATGCAGCCTGCTCAGTGCCTGTCCCTGATGGTAGGCTTGCTCTGCAGAAGGTGCAAGAAATATAGCAGCAGAAAATGAAAATCTTCTCTTATGCCATGGAAGATGCTGGGGTCTGATTTATGCCATAAAATCTGGGCATATTTATCTCTTCCTGGAAGAAACACTTGGAACACTTCTGTTAAGTGCTGAGCTCATGCCAACAGGGGAATAGTAGATCATCATTGATGAAAGACTCGGTTAAGACTGAAATACTGACACGCATTAAAACAAAGAACAGTCAAAAGGCAGAAAGTCTGCTCCCAAGTAGCTCTCGGTAGATAAGGTGACCTATCTATCACTCCGACTACGATCTCTCCAGTAAAGGAAAGGGGTTAAATACACTCTGCTTTTTTTTTTACTACCACAGGCATAGCTGTTCTTTCAAAAACCAGTGAAATGTGGCAACAAACACTTGTCCTCCAAGCCTGAGATCCTGCCTGACAAAAGGCAGAACCGTGTGTTTGGAAGAACGCTGAACAGCCCGTGATGCACGCAGTCAGCGGTGCACTGCTGTACACAGTTCATCACTGTCAAATGGCAGTCTTTCTGCTGAAGATCTGCTTACACTGCCCTGTTTCACAAAGCCACGATCTACCAGCCACCGTAGCAAGCGGCTCAGCCATTTTAGAATTTACTGCCTTGAATTTCCACCGCGTTAAGTCATCCTCTGGTAACCTGAACCACAGGAGCAGGAAGAGGGAGAGAGGAACCCAGCGGCCTGCAGGCGATCGAACCTTTGCGTACCTGCAAGGGCGGGCAGCTACCCCCTGCCTTCCCGTGGGGCGAGAGGCCCTGCCTCTCGGCGCTCGGCTTGGTCACGGTGAGGACGATGTGGGTCCCTGTGGAGTCGGTGATGAGGGTGGGGGGAGGGGTGCCCTTGATGAGGTCGCTCAGGGCGCTCCCTTGCTGGCCAAGGAAAAGCCGCGGGCTGTGGGACTGGCACGGCGGCTCTGCTTCCGCGGCTGGCACCTCCTGCTTCACCGTCACGGCTTTCTTTGGCACTGGGCTTGGATTCGAAGTGTCCATTTGGCTAGCGGTTGGTGCAGGGCTGAATTGGTCTGTTTGGCCACTGGATTGCTTTGCAGACTGGCAACTCAGGAAACCGTTTTCACTCTTGACCTGGACGCCAAATGCTACTGGGTTGGAGGCAAGGGCTGCTCCGTCTCTCGCAGCCGCTGAGGCCGGTAGTGACTGCTGAGAGCGCTTCTCCTGCTCTAGCTGTAGTCTAAGCATCTCAACCAGCTGCTGCTTCTGCTTCAGCATGCGGGTGAGTTCCTCGATCTGCTTGTCCTTCTCCTGCAGCATCTGATCTTTGTCCCTAACTTCTGCATCTCTGCTGTTACCGGCGCTACACCGCTCCGCCCTGGGCGCCACATTTACGCTGCAGGAGGCTGACTTGGAGCTTTCTTCCTTCACCAGGAACTGCACTGGAGATGCCTGCAAGGTGAGCTGGGTCAGGGGTGAAGTCACCATCTCTCCAAAGGTGTCTCCGGTGGCCGAGTTCTCGTCCCCTGTGCTCATCTGCGAGCGCTCAGAAGGAGTTGGAGAAACGGGAGGAGTCGAGCCTGTACTGCCGAACTTCATCACGCTGCCACCGGTGACTGTGGCCACAACCACTTCTGCTGGTGCAATGCCAGTGGTGACCAGGGCTGGCCCGGTGCTCAGCCTGGCAGCTGGGAAGGCCACCACCACTTCGGCAGCTTTTGGGAGGACGGCTGCTGTGCTGGGCTTGGGAGTGGGAGTCGTTTGGCCGGCTGCACCATTCTGCTCTTGGTAAGCTCTGAGACGCTCGATCAGGTCCGTCTTTGTGCCTGAGACAGGCAAGGCCCTCAATTTCAGCTCTTGCTTCAGCTCTGCTACCTGATAAGGGGAGAAGAAAAAGAGGGCAACATTAAGAGAACATACATGCTAACCAGAACGACTATTAACAGCTACCAGAGTCATGGGGCAAAGGACTAAAGTGACCCTCCTGTGGGCCAACAAACCTGCAGCTCAGGTACAGACTGCAGGGTAACAACACCAGCTGCTCTCACAAACTCCTGCCAGTCTACCTCTGGGGCAGCAACATGGTTCCATGCTGCCCACGGACAACGGCAAAGAAGGGACTGTGCAGCTTCACAGCACATTTACCTTCATCTCATCGAGGTTGGCAGGGAGAGGGCCAGGCTTGCCCACTGCAGCGTTACTGTTTTGTCGCATCAGCCCGCTGGGACCAGAGGATACTGAAGATGTGCTGCTGACTGTGGCAGAGAGACTGCGTACGGCAGGGGCACCGGCACCACTCTGCTGCTCTCCTGGAGGCCTGCAGGGAGAGAAAAAACACGAGCATCAAAACCAGAGTAAAAAGGCACCAGGGGCCTTCAGTGTCAACAGTTGTCCGTGTTCAGAAACATCTGGGTCACTAGTGCCACCCCAGACATGGAAGCACACCAATGCCTTTGACTGTATCCATGCCCCTTACTCTGCCAACTGACCCGCTTCAGCAGCTTCTCTCCCATTTATCTGACACCCCCCCTTTTTGAGGCCCGCTGTAACCTAACAAGACTGAGTGTGTTAGACCCAACTGCCACACCTCACCCCCAGAACACAATGTCTCTGGTAACGGTACTGGGGAAGCAAGTGCTTCCTAAGAGAGAGCTGCCATTTAGGACCCATACTTCGGTGGGGCTGGCAGGATGGTCTGGTAGTTGTAGTGCTGCTGCTGCTGGTTGAGGATCTGAAGCTGGAGAAAGAGCTGCTGCTGCTGCAGTATTTTGGCATAGGATGAATCCATGGGAGGAGCTCCCTTGTCCTGCTTTTGGTCCGGGGGAATATACTGATGATATTTAAGTTTCTTGACTTTCGGCTTCAACTCCTTGGCTTTTTTACTGCGCTGAGACTTCTCGCTAGCAGACTTGGGCTGGCTTTGCTATTTAGAAGAAAAGGAAGAAGCAAATAAGAATGGAAACACTGAAATAACATAAGACCTCGTATAAACCAAAACACACACAGGGATTTTTGTTTCAAAATTCTCCAGATTTGACCTCAGGGTCTTTCCATGATTCTCTACAGGCAACGGTAGAGTCACAGCACCCGCAGCGGCTTACACCGTACCATAATGCAGGTCACCTTTCCCAGCACACCAGATCACTTGCTCATTCAGCGCAGACTCACTGACTAATTATGGATAACACTGATTGTTTCAAAACATTTTTGCATTCAGGACCCATTTCACAGAAGGTGAATACTTCATGGAACAGAAAAACCTAATAAATATGTTACAACTAGTGTCAGAGGAAGACACTAGTGAGAAATCAGCTCTCCTTCCTTTGCACCTGTTAACAGAATATTTCCAACTTCAAACTTTCTTCAGAGTAACCGCCTTATCTTCCTTCAGACTACAACAATGAAGAAATCAGCCAAAAAAGTACCTTAATGAGTGTTGGTGGGGGCTTGGCAGCAGTAAGAGCTGCTCCATTGGTAAGACTGGGAGGCAGAAGAGGTGGAGGTGGCAGAGGCGGGGGTGGCTGTTCAGCTAGGAAAAGTGTTTCACTGGAATCTGCGCTGATCTGCAATTGGGATGTACCCTGCAGGGACAGAAAAAGGCATCAGGAATAGACATAAGAGGAGGGAAACAGTTTAAGAGCGTGCAGGAAGTGTCCACTTGCAGGGAAGCAGCACAGGTTTCAAGTCATTAATTAGACTCCTTTAACCCACTGCTTCAGTTGTCCCCGAGAAGCACCACAACTTCTTAGGGCAGAAGATCCCACACCTGTATCTCCCAGCTTTGCTTGCCAGAATCAGTTGCACACGGGCTGTATCACTGAGTAATGACTGCCCCCCTTCCCCACACAGCACCACTGCGGGGGCTTCTGAATAACCACAGGACTTCACCAACACCACACAGAGCTAAGACTCCTTGTGAAATCTCACAGATTATACACCTCTTGAGGATCCCTCGGTCTCATTTTTTTAGGATCCTCTGCCACAAATCAGCAGTATCTGTGAAGCTCCAGGGCACTGCAGGAGGCCACCGGGTTCTCACCTGAGCTAGTGACGTGCCAGTGGTGCTAGGGAGAGGCTCACAAATCCGGGAGTCCATCGGCGATGGGACAGACCCCTGGGACTCATGGCTGGCTGGCTGTTCTGGGGAGAGGGCATCACTGCTGTCCTCATCAAAGGAGGAATTGTCTGCAACCTTTGGGTAGTTCACCTGTCCAACTGAAAACACAAACATCAACTGTGGCCTTTAAAGTGGAATAAGAAATTATTTCACTTGACACTAGAAGTTTCTCAGAGATGATGAAGGCATGGAGAGAGTTGTGTCTGAGTTGTGCTTAAATGACCAGCTAAAAATGAGAGAACAGAGCCCAGACTGGATCAGTTTTAAGTAGAACAAAAGACTGGGATGAACCATTTCCCTTCCTTCTTAGCCAGACAAGATCAGGAAGTGTAACAAGAGCTACTTAACTCTGCCCAAAACATGTGGCATGGCTTATTTGATTATCATCTGGCACCAAAGAAGAAGGTGTAAGTTTGAGTCATGGTTTCTTTGATGTTCCTCCTGTGTGGTGGAAGGTAGAATCCCTCTTCAAGACAGAATCCCAAACTGCCCTCTAGTCTTACAAGCAACAAGGGCCATGGATTAAGCGGTGGCCCTGACTGCTATTAGCATTTCTGTCTATTTACATGTCCAGTAGATAAATTCAGGTGAGTGTACCTTTGTAATGTACTAATGTTTTTCAGATTACATTATCTCAAATTAATCCTGCTAAGCAGGAAAACACTATCATTTGCACCTAGCGTAAAAGCAACAGAAATCCAGAGAGATGTACTTTGCTCAGTCAGAAGCAAGCTACATCTCTAATGCTCCAGTTCACAAGTTCTTTCTCTACCTCAAATACACCTTGTACAGTAGTGAAGCCAGGCTCTCTCACACCACCTTCCTTTTTTTTCAGGAGAAGTATTCCATCTTGCTCACAGTTGTGTCCCATTTGTCTTGAAAGTAGCTGTGCGTGTTTGAGGGGATGAATAACCACAGACGCACACAGACTGCTCAGTCTGGGGAGATGGGAAAGAGCACTGCTGAGGCAGTGGGAAGGTTATTCCTCAGCATTCCTTTCAGCCCTTGGAATGGCACTGGCATGATTTACATCTGTTCTGGTTTATTTTTAAAGGGATTGAATCCTCTGAAGTTTTTAAGTTCACAGACAGCTTTTGTTTCATCACACCTGTTTATATTCTGTCTCCTCTCCCTCATCTGAGTAAGTCAGTGGGTTCTCCCTGACCAAGGTTGCTGACATGTTATACCGAGAGGGGGATTTTTAGGGAGAGAATCTAGGGAATGCAATCTTCAACAGTCTTTCAAGTCTTTAGGGTATGCAGTCGCTTTCACATTATTCTGGGATGTTCATACTTCCTATAATTTAATGTTTCTGTAGCGCTATCTGGGCCAGAGGGAGTTCTGCTTTTCAGAAGGCTCGGGGCTGAAAGCCTGTGATTCTGAGACAGGGAAACAAGACCAACCACGGCACTGCGCTCTCTTACACAGGCAGGTGAATTGATAGGAAATCACCCGTGGGAAATGCCCTCAACACAGATCCTCCTCTGGCCTTACCGATAATGGCTTCCTTCAGGCTCGATTCCACAGGCAAGATGTTCTTCTCCACCAGCTCCATGGGACCCGGCCTCTGCGCTATCTTCTCATTGAGGTCATCTGCCAGTCTGGCTCTCTTTAGCTTCAGCTGCTTAGCCTGCAAGGAGGGTTCAGCTGAGGTCTCTGTTCAGGGGAAAATAAATAAAATGGCATTAATCCAGCAATGGTCAACCAATGCACTTCAGCAGTATTTTACTTCTATTCAGAAAGGTAACTCCAGGTAACTGTAGATAATTGTACAGAAAAATAGTTGCAGATAACAATAGATAACCATGCAATATTATGTATATTTATGTTATAAAGATAACTACAATCATCCTCGTGACTCTAGAATATGACAAATATGCTGTTCTCAAACTGATGTCACCCAGTTCTCATTCACCTTTACCCTTTTAGTTGTGTCCAAAGATGTGGTGCTCAGCAGCACCACAGTACTCCCTCTCTGAGGAGCTTACTAATTAGATCAAATCTGCCTCACTCCCTCTTGGATAATTTACAGTGTGTTCCCTAGTAGAAGAGCAATCCATGGTCATTCTATTTCTTTGTTGCTCAGCTACACAAAACTGCACAATTTGAGTTCACATAACAGATTCTTCTGAGAATCCCCATGCAAGCAGAGTTGAATGCCTCTCAAGAAATCACGCAACGGGCATAATGATCTGCCCACTCTCAAGTGAAAGACAGACTTGGGGGTCAGAGGCAAAATAGAAAGCTGTTAAGTACAAGTGATTACGATGAAGTTTATTGTTGATGTTTTCCTGTTTAGCACGTGCCATACCTTCCAGAATGTGCATCCTAACCAGCTCTGATCTCTCTGGCCGGGACCGGATTTTCCGTTTCAGATAGTCCTCTGTCTGCAGCAAAAATAGACAAGCAAGAGCCAATTTCAGTTGATCAGACATAGGAGTGAGGTAATCTTGGATAGCACGAACAAGAGAAACAACCATCTTTAGTTGTTACTGAGATCTAAATAAACACAGAACAGAGAAGGGGTTATCTTCTGTCCCAGAGCACCCAGAGAATGAGCTTATTCTAAAGATGATCTTCTACTGTAACTGCCTCAGTCTGACTGTGCACTGCTGCCCCACAGAACAGAAACTGGAAAGGACTAAAGGACTTCTTCAAGAACTGAAGCCCTCCTTTTCCCTTTTATGCAACACCACTAACTCGTGTCAGGGTAAAATTCAAGACATTTCTTTTTTCATTAAAGATAAATGCACTGGTTCCATTGTTCATAACAAATATTTTCATATACTGCTGACATTGAGGGCTGACTTGTGGTTTGGGAATACTCTTTTATTTGTTTAGAGATATGTTATTTGTTAAACTAAAGACCCCATGCAGTCTGTTGGCAGGCACAGTCTACATGCTAAGACATTACATTTCCAGAGCTGCTTCTAGCTCTGTCTTTGAAGAATGCACTACAGAGCAATCTAGAGATGACCCTGTCTGGGCTGAGCACGTTACCCCTTTGCACAGCCCAGGAATGGGAATCTGGGAACAGTGAGTAATGGACTGGTAAGTACTGGCCATCAGGATGGGTCTTCAGAGAAAATAAATATTAAAGTCAATCAGAAAACTGCACCATAATTGCTCTATTGCTCACACCAAAATATTAGCTTAATAAGAAGGTTTTAGGAAAAAAGAGGAGGAAGAAGCAAAATCCTTTGGGACACTGGTCTTAATGTAAAGTCCACTGTTCCAATCCTTCCACAGTTTCAAGTGATAACACTCCCTTACAGGTTTTAATCACAGCTGTTATTTTTTTACTTATGTTGCTTTCACTTTTAAAACAAAACTTAGCCCAGCAGTCATAATAGGTTTTATTCCCCTGTAGATTAATCAGAAAAAAAACACAAAACCTATCCCCAGAGGCCTTTTGAGGAACAGAAATCATCAAGAAACCCCCCCCAGTTAGTAAATGTGCCCCATGAAGCGCGATGCCTGGCTTCCTCTTTCTATAGAGACAGAAGTCTGCGTGATTTCAGTGTTAGAAGATTTCAGGGGCGATCCTCTCTACTAAATTTTCAGTTTCTAATGTCCTAGAATAACAAGTGCACATGCAGGTAACAGAGAAACCATATACCTTCCTCAAAGGTGGAACTGAGTCACATGATAGGAGCGTTTAAGGGCAGAACAGACACCATAAAAATAAAAATGTAAAGTATATGAACAGTGGGCAAGAAGAGCATCAGCGACTTCCAGAAAGAAGACCCCAGGGAAAATCCAGGCACCATATTCAATGGTTTTTAGGCACAACTAGTTCACTGCGGGTTAACAACCAGCACATACAAGCTAAAGAACGCCCCATCCAATACATCTGTGACTACATAGCACTGTATTACACATCCAGAATATGAACAATTCCCTTCTGCATCTCATTAACAACTACAGGATGCCCAAAACACGCTACTCCTGGCTTCCCCAAAACATTAAAGGCAGTATTGCATCTTACCCTGGCCCGTTCCAAACTCCTTCTTTGTTCATGAAATGCAGCTGGACTTTTCAGAGCTGTTGAGAGGAAAACATTTAGAGAATGAATTAGAGTGATGGAAGTTCTCTCATTGCACGTCCCTTTAGGCCAACTAAGTTAGCAAATACACTGCAGCAACTGCCTCCTGCATCTTTGAGCACACTGGACCAGATCTCCAGCTGGTATAAAGCAATGTGAATGGATGTACTCCATCGGACAGCACAGGAGCTGCAGGAACTGACCTCGACTTTTTGTGGGCTGCTGAAGAGATTAATACAGGTACACTTCTAGGCGAACTGCTCACAAAGTTGGGTCCAAGAACATGAGTCAGAAACAGCCCCCCAACAAATGCCTTTTACAAGCATCAACATAGAGTAAGATATCCAGGACCCTTAAGTAAGGGAAAGGCACTGAAGCATTGAAGAGATACATGAAATGGTTGGAAGGATGGGGGAGGATCCTAATGAACTGTAAATCCTCTTTACTACCTTTTAATGTCAAAGGAAGCTGCAAGTCTTTCCTTAATCTGCACCTGTGTTTTGTGTACATGCAAGGGCTGCTTGCAAATTCTGCAGGTCCACAGGACATATATATTGTTCCATGTAAGAGAAACTATCGTGAGAACAGGAACACTTGGACAGGAAAGTACATCTGTCTGTTGACAGAAAACCAAGACTTGAGGAATTAACAGCAGCTCTCCATAGAACAGACCTCCTCGCCCCCTCAGGCCCAGTATAAATCCAGCGCCAAAATGGATCAAGTTTTAAGAAACTGATCCTCTGCTGTCCAGGACCGTACTAACCCTGGAGGAATCTCTCACTCTGCCTGGCTCCTCTGGAGCACACAAAGCTCACGTCCCACAGTAAAACCGGAGAAAGAGGGTGACAACAGTAAGTGTCACTAGCTCCTTACAGTTTTCCCAAACAAGCAAGTAGCTTGTCTTTTGAAACAATCACACTGTGGCTTGTATTCAGAACTAGCTGAAGGGAACATACTAATTTCTTTTCGTATTTCTGAAATACTCATATTAAAACTGCCTGGTGAAGTTTCTAAATTACCATCAAGCTAAACACCTTTAAAGATAAGTTGCAAGTCTTTTGAAGACAAAAATCTAAACTTGTACAGTTAGTAACTCTGGAGTTACTACTGCATCTAGGTCCTATGAAAGGTCTACTCATTTTTCACTTAAGACTAATGATTACATATTTCTCAAATGTAACTTCATAATAAAATCTCAAAAGACTAATAAAAAATAAAAGCCCTTGCATAAATGTAATGTAAGAAACTATTTCTAATGCACATGTAGACTTCTAAACTCTTTCCTACAGAATAAAATGGAGCAGCCAAAGACAAAGTGTTAAGACATACACATGTTCTGCGAATTACAGACAGAGTCCCTATAGGTTCACATCAATGGGGTAAAAAGTACAATTTATTCCACACGCCAGGAACTCTAAACCACACCAGGGCATCACGGATGGGATTCAGACTACAGAAGTGAATGAAGAATAACCTGTAGAATCCATTAACAATAATTGAAAACTTACCATAGGGAGTATACAGACTTCTGCAATGATGGGGTAAATAGTTTATATTCAGATTCAAGATAGTTTCATACAATCTGGTTATGGAGAGAAATCGCCAGAGAAAGTTCTGCAAGCTGTGAAATGGGAGTGCACTGATTGCACTTTGGGATAAACCAAAGTAGGGGTAGAGATACAGTTTTTCAATAACTGCAAAAATAATACAAAAAAATTCACTGGCTAGCTGAGACATCAACTTGTGGGCAGTCTGACCATCACACCTTGATGAAGAGCAAGTAACAAATAAGACTGATAAATACCCTTTTCAAGCTGCATGAACTACTTGTGAATATGCACGTGCTTGAACTTAAACTCACATTTCTTTCACTGTATGCACATCACAGAAAAGTAAAATAAAAGTCCAGGTACACCTGGTCAAAGATACCATGCAATATATAAATCAGTATAAAAATCTACCCTGGAGACAAGCAAAGCAGGCCTCATGTTGAGTCTTTAAAAGCTCTCTACGACCAGAATGTGCAGGCACGGCAGTAATTCTTTACTCTCCCCTTTCTGCCTACCTCTGCCATCAGCAAGAGGCAGCAGATGAACTTTAAGTGACATTTCCCTAACCATAGCAAATGGTCACGAAAGTCAACTGCAGGAGTTCAGCTGATGTCACAGGTAGTTCAGGAAAATTCCTGCATACACAAGAACAAAGTAAGAAGAATCCCTGAGAGGGGTAAAAAAATAAAAAAGAGCCCTCCCCCAAAACACATACACATCAGACAGTAAGTAATGCAAAACTGCTATGGGAAGAACAATTTCAGTCTCTCATGACTAGTCCTCTGGAAACAAGCACTGGGTTGTAGCTCTCTGGGCTGGCAACGTGACAGAGGACCTCATATTTGACCTCTGAAAATGTCAAGAGGGCACAAATCCTTCACTGCTTCCCTCAGCAATCTAGGATGAGGCTGACATGTCAGAAGAGGGTGTCTATTGTAAAATCATACTCCATTTGAAGTTAAGTAAGCCTTACACATTTTTCTGGCTTTGAAATGACCACATAGTCCAGAGCTGTGGAGCAACTCTGTTAACTTTACTATAGTAAACATTAAAAAAAAAAAAAATCCTACGAGGAACTCTGAAGCAGTAAGGCTCTGGGTAAGCATTACAGGAGACCCACAAGGCAGATCTGCCCTTTTACCAGCTCCTACCACTGCCCGTCCCAGCCACTTGACACTGATCCCTGCAAAACTATTCCTGCCCCCCTGATACCCTTCTGGCTTGCTCACCCAAGTGCTGCTTTATCCATTCCACTCAAAATTACCCATCTCCACAAAGCTCCACTGTTCTCAGGCATATGAGCTATTCCAGCTCATTCTGCCAGCATACGCAAATAAGCGGCTGAGCTGGTGGAGCAGAAGCAGTGGTAACCAGGTAGGCATGGGGCAGCACTTCTATCACAGACACAGGATTCCTGTCCACAGCCCTTGGTACCTGAAGCAGCAGATACAACCACAGAAAGCGGGGATGAAGAAACTCCAATCACTTAATGCTTTCTGACTGTTTGGGCTGCATAAAATATACTAAACTATTCCTTATGGTAGTTTGTCTAACCTGTTCTTGAAGACTTCTCATGAAAAAAATGCAATATTATTGCAGAGAAATTATCCCAGTGCATAGATGTCCTTACTATTTAAAAACCTTTATGAATGTCTAACTTTTCCTTTCCTACAATTTATACTCGTTATTCCCTGTCTTACCTGCAATCATTACAGAGAACAATTTATTCTCTTCCTCTTTGCATCTATCACTTATATATTGGAAAACTTTGATTTTTGTACAGTCCTCTGTTATATGAAAAAAACAAAGCCAGTTGTTTCAACATTTCCTTATAGATAACCTTTTCCAGCCCTTTGCTTGTTTACTCTCTATTGGTCTCCTTCCATTTGCTCTGCGTTTTTATTGAAGTATAGTGTCCAAAATTGGGTACATATTCCAGCCTAGGCTTTATCAGCTTTTATAGAGCTAAATGATTATTAAATAACACTTCTCAGTTATATGTCCCAGCCAGTTTATCTTTTTTGTGTACATAAACTTCATAACATGTCTGCTTGTGCTTGGCACACAAACCATTAAAGGTCTCCAATCCTCTTCTGCAGAGCTGCTATCTAGCCAACCATTCTCCACCCTCAATTCATTCCACTGACTAGACATAGGAAAATGTAGAAACACTGCATTTTTCTCTGGTTTTGTACCATACTTCTCAGCTTCTCCAAATATTATGAGTCCCAGTCCTGTCCTCCTCCTAGCCTGCTAACCTGCAAGCTTAATAAATATGCACACCATTCCCTTGTTTACAACAAATTACTGAAAATACCAAATAGTATCAGATACTGACCCTCTCCCTCCCCACCCCCCCAAAAGGCCCTGCTCAACACATCCTCCCAGTCTGACACCAAGACTTTATTCCAATCCTGTTCTTTCACCAGTTGCATACCCAGCTTCAAGTTCTCCCAGCTTGCTTACAAAAACGTCAGGAGAGCCAGTGTCAAGCACCTTACTAAACCCAAGAAGTGCAAAAAGACATTTAGCACCTCAACTTCCTGGAGAGACAGTTCAACAAATATTTAGTCTGATGGTAGGCCCAGCTTAAATAATGATATCTTTTTCCCTTTCCTCCATGTCCCCCACATTTCTGCACTGTCATTGATGCTCCAATTGTACTCGTATCACACAGGGAGCTGTACTAGGGAACTGTCACCATGAAGTAACCCCAGCACCTCCCCGTGGACCTTTCTCCTCCCCAGAAAGAGGTACTAGTTAACTCGGTTCAAATCCTCAATCTAGCTAACTGTGTGGCCAGCTTTGTCAGCAAAACTTTGGGTGAGCCCCTGATGACAAGAGAGTGCCGCCAGAGAAAAAAAACCTGCCAAACGACAATAGTAGGTGTTGAGAGTTTTTGGTTTCCACTATATGCAGGAAAAAAATCCTTTATATTTCTCTTCTACTACTACTACTGAGATATTTGAGAATGCAGAAGTAACTTCTGCAATGCCCCTTTTCAGTTAGGCATACCTTTTGCCTGCCTTTCTGATTTTGTTTGTACATGCTATGTGCATGGTATTTTCATTGTCACTATACTGCAGTTACACTTTCTGCCCTCATTTCTGTACCTAGGCCTGGGACAAAGCATGTTAGCCCTCAGTTACGCTGACAAAATCATTTGTGGACTCAGATCACAGTTGTTTTGAAAGAGTTATTTTAACCTGGATTGGTATGCTGGTTTACAGCACGGCTCCACAAAGAATAGTGTCAGCAAAACTGAGCAAAAACTGCCCTGCCAGACAAAGTCAGAAACAAGAGGCTGGGTTTAAGGCCAGCACTGCAGGAGGAACCCCCATGCTGCCGAACCACAGCCCCCATGTCTTCAGATTGTCCCATCCACCTTAGGAAAGGAGCCTGGTGTTACAAATGGCCGAACAAGCACTAAAAAATGGCTTATTGATAGA